GTAACTAAAGATCCCATGGGCCACAACTGAGACCCGGCACAGCCAAAATAAATAAATTAATTTTAAAAGTTTAAAAAATAAATAAAGTTTATTAACAAGGTCTCCAGGTTACTAATAGGCACGTTAAAGTGTGAGATGCCTTGGGCTAAATGCGTGAGGTGAAGTGCATTTGCATCATAAACCTGGCCAGTCTAGATTCATCAATGGTTTCCTACACCTGAGGTTGGTTTTTCTATTTATCTTTTAAACCCCAAATGTAATGTTCTCAAGGGTTGACCCGAATGCCATTCCATGATGACATCTGCAGGTCTGAAGGGGAGGACTGAGTGTTTTAGTCAATCTGCTAGTGGGGAATGTATTTATACTACAGGTGTGGACACTGTCCGATGGCTCTGGAGGTTGGACAGGCTGGGATGTAGGGCCCTTCTCGCACCGGATTTAGCTCTCAGTGCAGAGAGACCAGTGTACTTGCCCTCAGACACATGTTGGGCACACAGCCTTCCTTGTGGGTACCATTTTAACTTGTGTCACATTTCTTAGGGATTGGTGGGGAGTTGGGGGTGGGTAGGACCCTCTGAATGGCTGCACGTCCCACAGGCCAGCTTCCAGCCTCAAGGAGCCAACCCCGTGGTCTAGTTTAATTCCAGGTTCCATCTGGGTGTAGGGATAACTCCAGGCCGACATGTTTCAGCACAACCCAGGCCAATTTGGGTTTTATTTTCAGCCCCTTCTCTGTCCATCTAAGTAAGGAAATAAATCACTTTTCCCTGAAAATACTGTGCGAAATGAATTGTTTCATGCAAAGTCCACCTACCTGATGTGTTCACACAGTTATGGAAGGCAGCACTCTTCCGTGGGTGTGTACTAGGGGAAATCCTTCCAACCTTGGCAGGATTTATGGGAGAACTGAATTAGGAACCCTACGTCCCGCTCTCACCGTGGCACCAGGCACAGAGAAGGCACTCGATATGCCATCCTTTACACAACGCAGCTGCCCACACTGTGCGGCCTGCGAGATCCTAGTTCCCCAGCCACAGATCGAACCCTCGCCCCCTGCAGTAGCAGCTCAGAGCGTTAACCACTGGACCGCCAGGGAAGTCCCGGAGCAGTTGCTTTAATGTCTGTCCTCCCGCCTTCTGTGGCGGCTGAGGCGGGTGTCGCGCTCCCGCCCGGCAGCGCCCACCCCACGTGTATGGAGACAGAGGACGGCACGAGTCCTCGAGACTGCTGCTCCCCAAGCTCTGTCCACAGACCTGGTAGCTGGGTTATAGACTCTGTTCTTGGACCACGCCCCCCAGTTCCAACTGAAGAGTTTGGGGAACGCACCATTGAGACCACAACCTTCACCCACACAAGGTATGCCGTAGTGTTATTTTTAAGTTCTTCAAGTAAACAAGAGTCTAAAATAGTCTTCCATGGTATTATTATTTTTTTGGCTTCTCCACGCAGCTTATGGGATCTTAGCTCCCTGACCAGGAATGGAACCCACACCCCCTGCACTGGAAGCGCGGAGGCTTAACCACCGGACCACCAGGGAAGTCCAGTTTTCCATTGTAAATAGCAGTTCTCTGAACACTTTTCCTTCTACCGACATAAACCTCTTACACTGGAGAGAACGGTCTCTCTTCTTTGCCACGGAAGGCCATCTACCTGCATGATTTATCCCACCTAGCCTCTGGACTCCATCTCACCATGTCTGTTCATAGCCCTTACCCTTCTCAAGTTTTGTGGTTATTATTTGCCCCCAGCCCTACCCTCCTCCACTTGAGAGTATGCCTTCTTCCTGCATCTGTGACACACTCTTCTGGTTCTCCTTCCATTTCTCTGATCAACCCTTCTCTTCCCACCTAAATAAATACTCCCAAGCTCTCGTTTGCAGGCCTTCTCTCTTCCGCTTCTCTCCTTAGGAGTTTTGTCCACCTTGATAGCTTCATTCATTGAGCACATCGGGGAGGGTAGTTCCAAATCTTTGCCTCCCTCCAGCCGCAAACCAGTGTTTATAACTGTTTACTTGACATCTCACTTGCTTGCCAGACCGAACTCCTCACCTTCCACTGGAATAGCGCCTTCGCCTGGCTTCCTGGTCTCTGTCAGCGTCAGCACACAGGCAGAGGTTCTCAAACATCACTGAGCTTAACATTATTCTCATTATTTTCCTGCCTCATTGGTTCCCTGAAACTCAGCAGCTCTCCATTTTCCAAATTCATGCTCTCCCTTCTGCTGAGGTTTACAAAAAGATTGAACCAAATCAAAGTGGTTTCAAAGAGTTCTGTCTCAACTTACTCACAGCCCAGAACACTGATTATCTTTGACATACGTGGCCCAGACCAGACCCGTCCAGTTTCTTCCCCAGGTTTATTCTAAGCGGAATGAACCTGGAAGGACCCTTGACACCAGGGTCATGGAACTAGAAGGATGAGAACCCAAGACTTTTGTGCATTTGGTGGAGCGTCTGCTCGCTGTTCCCTAGACATACCCAAGCTTTCCTTCTCCATGTTAATATTCCCTCCCCAGTTGAAATTATATCTATCCATTGCTCAGAATTTACCATAAATAACACTACTCTTCAAATGCTGTAATCTCCCCCTCCTTTGAACCATGCCCGCTGCCACTGTAAGCTTCTTAATGACTGAAAGCTGTTTCCCATGCATTTCTTTATCTGTCATCGCCCCCTCCCCTCACCCAGGCACAAGGCCTTGAAGACAAGTGCACAATACATGTTGGTTCCTTATTGTCAAAGAGGTATGTCTGATCATCAGTTTTTGTATAACACCCATTTCTTTTATTCTTACATGCACATTTTTCACAATTTAATATGGGTGGAGTCAGGCTTCATCTTATAATCATTGGATGCTATAATTTAATTAGCAGCATTTTTTCTTTCTTGGTGGTACATAAACTATGGGTGCATCTTACACTTGACAGTGTCTTAGATTCAGTGAAATAAAGTATCATTCAAGCATCCCTGATAACAGTTATGTTTACTCTTCTATCTTCCTGTCTTTAAGGTCAATCGTTCAATTCTCAAAATTTCCTTAGTTCCTGTTCTCTACTCCTACTGTTGTGTCCTTTTTACCTCGTTTAATTTTCTACTTTTCTCAAGTAGAGTCAGATTATCACACTGCAATAAAGCTGTGCTAAATCTGATGGTGTCATTGGTTCATGGTCCCACATGATAAAATGCTATTTACAATTCTACATGTTTGCTACAGAACGAACTCCAGTTTCACTGTATAAGCTAGTTAAAATACATCTTTATTTTTTTTTTAAGTGTGATCAGGCCACCATGTTATATGAGCCTCAATTTATGAAGACAACGTAGTCAGCAGCACAGCAGTATTGGAATTACATAAGACAACCAAAGCAATAGGATATATTTAACGACAGTGTATCAATAATTATCATTCTTTGAGTAGCACTGTGGCCTAGGAGAGTCTCTAGAGAGTACAAGTTTCTAAACATGTCCAGGTGCCCTGTACCATCCAATTTCCTTGTTTATGTACCTTCATTCTTCATTTGTCCCTGAAGCTGGGAGAGCCGCTGGTCTTGGGCCAGGCAACTCCACGGAGGGGAAGCTGTCCTGATGAACACTGGGAGGGATGGGGGACCTGCTGTGACCCCTAGAGTTGCAGAAAAAGCTGGTCTCTCACCTCTTCCTACAACCTAGGATCCAGCCAAAACAGATGACTTGCCCCGCAAATTATACTCTGCAATCCCAAACTTTCCTGCCTCTCTCGTGCCTTTGCTCAGGCCAATCCTTCCATCTGCAGTAGCACTGTGTAACAGGACTTTCTGTGACTGTGGAAATGTTCTCGAGATCTGCACTATTGAATACAGTAGTCACTGGCCACATGTGGCTGTTGAGTAGAGCACTTGAAATGTGGCTAGCACGACGTGGCAAGAACTGAGTTTTTAATTTTATTTAACTTTAATTAACTTAAATTTAAATAAATATATAGCCAGTGGCTACCATATCGGACCGCACATATCTAGCATGTACTTTCTACATGTGCACCTAGCATGAACATTTCTTCTCCAAATCCCCAACCTTCAAGGAGCAGCTCAGAAGCTGTTTTCTCCACGAGATCCAGTCTTCCACTGGAAATCATTCTTTCCTTCCTTAGAATTCCCATTACATGATGAACCATTTTTGTGGTGCTTAATACTTTTTTAACTTACACGTAATCGTATACGATATCCTTGACCCGTCCTTTTTCTGAGAGCTATACAAGAATAAGATGATCTCTTACTCTTAATGTGGACCCTACAATACCTAGTCCAGGGATTTTTTAATGTTTGCTGCATGAATCTATACTAGAAGCAGAGTAATTCACATTAACAATGAGGAATTGACAATGATTGCTGTGCAGTAAAGGATGAATCTTGACAAAAGAAAGGTTTGGGCCTTGGCCTCTAGCTCCTGGGAGGTAACTTCTAAACCCCTGGACTGTCCTGCCTGATTGAGGGTCTTTGTTCACCTGGGGGCCTACGGCCATGCCAGACGGTCTAAGCCAACAATGTGGTTTATGATGGGGTCTCAGGCTGAGACGTATCAGCTCAGCCTCTGAAGGAACTGGAGACTAAGGTCAGCCATACAGGCGGTCAGCTGTATTCAGATGGCCAGCCCCCAGTAAAAACTCTACACTTTGATGGGTTTGGGTGATGTTTCCCTGGTTGGCAATACTCAGTGCATGTCGTCACACATTGCTGAGAAAAATAAGCACTGGCACAGGGCAGGTATTCAATATTTAATGAACGGTTGAATGGATGTATGAATGAACGATGTCCCTTAATATTGCAAAATCATGCGAGTTGCCAGACTCACCCAGGTCAAATCATTTCATCTGGGATCTGAGTTTTCTTTTTCTTTCCTAGATAGGCACTTAATCCAGTGTGGGATTTACAGATTTTTTTATTCCTATTTTGAATCTTAATTTCCTGTCTATTTTGAATCTTAATTTCCTGTCTCCTATTTTGAATCTTAATTTCCTATTTTGAATCTTAATTTCCTGTCTCCTATCCAGAATGCCCCTAAGCTTGCCCTTCATTTTTCCCTTCCCTTTATAACTGAATCCTAGGCTTCCTAAGGGTCTCAGAACATTCATCTGGGAGGCATTTGAGTCTTTTTTTTATTGGAGGGAGGCTCTCATGAACCTGTTCACACACAAGAACAGAAGAAGACAGTCCCAGAGTGGCAAGAAGTGGGACACAACACAGCATGAACGATGAGCAAGCCCACGAGGCCTGGGGGAGGGCAGCTGGAGAGCCCCTGGGCTCCTCCGGGAGCCAGGATGCTGCTTGAGGTGGTCCAGGGTCTGCTGCTCTGTCTGTGAGGGGTCACACTCAGCAGGTCCACGTGTGGGCGGCCGGCCAGACACCAGAGATGTCCGTGCCCTTCCCCAGGCATAGCCTCAGAGCTCCTAGGCTAACACTGACCAGTAAATTAAGTTGAAAAATATGTAGGAAGCTGGGAATATCAACCGGGAGTATTTGTCGATGGCGTGGGTGTTCTGGAAGATGCGAAGACCCACCTGGCCCTTCAGAAGCCCCTTCTTCCTGGAGGAGTTGGATTCACTGCTCAGGGCCAGGTGGACCACTATTTTGTCTTGCCTTTCTTCTTCTGTCAGAATATGGCTTCTCGGGTACCCAGCCAGGCTGTTGGCCTCAGACTCACTGTAGCTTCCACCCAGCATCATGGTTCTTGAGTGGAGCATTCCACGCATGCATGGGAACTGTGGGCAGCAAACACAAGGGGAGATGTCAGGCATGTTTCGGCCTGTGAGAGGCCCAGAGGAGGCTGCCTGGGCCGAGAGTAAAGCCCATGGCTTCTCAGAACCACAGAAAAGGCAGAACTAGAAGCATCTCCAGAGATCACTTTGTCCAACGATTCTCTATCCTGGCTGTGTATTGGAGTCACCTTGGGAGCTCTTTAAACTGGCCATGCCCAGGCTCCACTCTAGACTAATTAATTTAAGGCTTCCAGGTGATTCTGCTATGCAGCCAGGGTCCAGAACCACTGATTTAGTCCAAATGCCCTCAATTGCAGAAGGAAAAACTAAGACCAAGAGAGGCTATACAATTCTCCTGGGATCAGACAGTTAGTGTCAGATTCAGGACTTTAAACACACATCTTCTGGTTCCAGCCGTGGACCTCCACCACTATGTGCATGAATCAGAAGATGATTAGGTAGGAGAGTGTCCTTATTCTAACGAGTTGCACTTAAGGGTAAAGGGTCATGGTACCTATCATGTATTTTTCTTTTTTTATTTATATATTTTTTCTTAGATAATCCTCCAAGTTTTTTATTTAAATTGACGTATAATTGATTTACAGTGTTGCATAATTTCAGGTGTCCAACAAAGTGATTCAGATATATATAGAGAGAGAGATAGATACATACACATATATGTAAAACGTTTTTTCAGATTCTTCTCCATTATAGGTTATAACAAGATAGTTCCCTGCACTATACAATAGGACCTTGTTGTTTATCTCTTTTATATATAGTAGTGTGTATCCGTTAATCCAAACTCCTAATTTATCCCCCTCCCCACTTTCCCCGTCATGTATTTTTTTAATGGTTCAGCTGCACCAACAAAAGTATGTTTATATGAGAAAAAGCTCACACAAAAATGGCAAAGTGTCAACAATGTTGGATGGAGGGGCAGGGTGTATGAATGTATATTATCCTATTTTTTTCAACCATTTCCGTGAGTATGAAAATGTTTATAAGAAATTATAAGGTGGAGGGAAGGGAACGGTCTTGTCTAACTCCTCCCCACTGTTAGAGTCAGCAAAGCTGGCTCCGGTTAACAGCTGGTTCATGAACCCATATTTGTTGGATGAAGGCTTTGCTATGTTTTTTTTTTTTTTTTTTTTTTTTTTAATTTATTTATTTTTGGCTGCTTTGGGTCTTCATTGCTGCGGCACGGGCTTTCTCTAGTTGTGGCGCGCAAGGGCTACTCTTCATTGCAGTGCTCGGGCTTCTCATTGCAGTGGCTCCTCTTGTTGCTGAGCACGGGCTCTAGGTGCACAGGCTTCAGTAGTTGTGGCACATGGGCTCAGTAGTTGTGGTGCATGGGCTCAGTAGTTGTGGCACATGGGCTTAGTTGCTCCATGGCATGTGGGAACTTCCCTGACCAGGGCTCGAACCTGTGTCCCCTGCATTGGCAGGCGGATTCTTAAACACTGCACCACCAGGGAAGCCCTGAGGCTTTGGCATGTTTTGAATGACTCTATACAGGAAAGTCCAATGCATTATAAATCAAAAGTATTTAAATATAATCCAAAGGTATTTGATAATAATCAATGTACAGATTATTGAAAATTTAAACAAGGATTCACATACCCAAGTAAAAAAGGTTTGTGTTTGGCTGTTGCTGGCCAGAGGTAGGACGCTTGCCTGATCCAGCCAACTGACCTTGGGTTTATTCTCAACCTGCTGGCTTTAATACGTTTCTAACCTGGCTCTCAGCCCTGTGGTGCCTCTGTTTTTCCATCTGGGAAAGTGAAATAATGGCATTTCACACATTTCCTCCTATTGTCATGGATCCTGAAATACGCAAGCAGATGGATACCAGGAAGCTTTAGAATGCAAAAATAGATGAATGATTTTATGTCAAATCAGAACTACTTGAAGTACTTTTACACTTGAAGAAATCTGTGGTTTGGAGAGCTATTTTCTTAATCAGGCATGATTGTTTCATCACTATTTCTATGTCTTGTCCCATCAGCAACAATAATTAAGTAGCACGTTAATACATTCCTAGAATAATTAACTCATAGATTTTAAGGATAGAAGGTCAGTGAGAGGTCATCTATTCAACTCTTTGCATTTAGATAAAATCACACCCAAACTTTGGTAAAATTGTGAGATATTGTTATATCACTGGGGACTTCTTCTTTTGTACGACATGGGTCTTCTTTTTCCTTGCTCTAAACTGAAATTCTTTCTGCTAAAATAAAAAGAGACATTTAAGGTTTTGAGTTAGAATCAGGAAATGCCCCAAATTATGGAAAATCTCTATTTCCCACATCAGCTCATTTCTAAGAAAATTTAAGTGGCATCTGGCGCATTGGACAGGTCTGGATGATCAGTCAAAGAATTCAAGCACATATAGGGAAGCAGAACTACACTCTGCCTGCCGGCTTCAACCCAAAGCAGCGTGGGTCCCCTTTTGAACCATGGTGAACCTAGCAGGCTCCAGTCAACTTTGCCCTCTGCAGAGCAGAAGTCAAACCTCAGGGAGCATCAGAACTGCCTGGGAGCTTGTCAGCAAGGCCAATTCCAGGGTGCCATCTCTGGAGATTCTGAGCCCGTAGGTCTGGGGTACAGCCCTTAATCTTCATCTTTAATAGGCTGAGAAGGTGAATCCAGGCCAGGTGCCCCTGGGCTCCCACTTTGGGAACCTCGGCTCCACTGGGGGCCATGTTAACGTTGTGAACAGTGGCTTCTCTGTGGGGCAGCGGGAGAGAGATTTCGTGTCCTCCCACCAGTCCGCCTCCCCAGCAACCACAGCTTCTCAGCCTTTCAACTGCGTGCTTGACAACAATGGAGAACAAGCCCTCGCTTCCCAGCTGTCTGTTCCCATAGACATGGAGCTAGACTCGGAGCCCAAAGGGCTGTCCACATATGATTTCCTCATTGCTCTTTAGCCAGCATCGTATCATCACTGGCAAACACTGGGCCCATCATATGGTAACAGGTTAATAATGATCTGCCTGAGTACAAGTTATGCGCTGTTAATGGTTCATGGGCGCATATCTGTCGGATGAAGGCTTTGCTATTTTTTGAACAGCTCTACACAAGGAAAGCCTAACAGATTACAAATCAAAAGTGTTTAAGTATATTCCAAAGGCATCTGATAATGATCAATGCACAGATTATCAAAATTTGAGGGAATTCCCTGGTGGTCCAGGGGTTAGGACTCATTGCCAAGGGCCTGGGTTCGATCCCTGGTTGGGGAACTAAGATCCCACCAGCTGGGAAAAAAATTGAACAAATTCTCAAATGCTGAAGCAAAAGTATTTTGAAGACAACTTAAAATATAAACTCTTAAAAAATCTAGCATATTTGAAGACAACTGGAAATATTTAACAGGTACAATGTGGGCATTAAAAGACTATTTTTAAAAAGGCAACAGGTCCTCTTTCCTAAAACTTAAAGCTCCCTTTGCTAAGGAGCTCTCAGCCAGCTAGACACACATAAATGTGGAATTTTCACGTCCCCTGATCTCTACAACTTTTAGGTAAACACCCATTTTGATTAGTACAATGACTAGCAAGGATTTGGTAACAAGTTGGCATTTTATTTCTTAATGTGATTAATAAGAGTCCGCATATGAATAGGATAGATTTTCCCTCTCTGCCCAGGTGCACTGCCCTGAATTCCCCCTTTGCATTCCATCCCACAGTAGACTTTACTATAGTGCAGTATCGTATAGATAGCATAGTATTTCCAATGAGTCTAAAGGCTAAGGTTGTGTGTGGCTGAATTTTCACTGGGCCAGAGCACTGATAAATACAGGAGTTTTTTATTCTAGAACTTTCCTCCTGTCTGTTCACAGGACGTAGAGACATTCTCCCTAGACAGGTTCAGTAATGATAGTGATAATTTATGTGCATCTAGAACCACACAGTTTCAAAACAACTCTCATACACATTTTTGTAAGGGCATTGTGACCCTTACAATAACCCTGGGAGGAAGGTGGGGTGAGGGTTCTGTTATACTTTTTTTTAACAGATGAGGAAACTGAGGCCCAACATAAATGGCAGAGTTGGGTCCAAGAACCCAAGTCTTCCTAGTCTTTGTCCAAAGGCTTTCTACTTTCTGGGATCTTTTGTGATGGAAGCTAGAATATTCTAAAACGGATCCTCCTCCTTTTGCACAAACATCTCCCTTTTCTCCATGAAAGCTCCCTCCCGCTATTCTCATCCAACCAGCAGCATGGGCTCCAACAAGGAAATGAATGAAACTTCTCTCACCTTCTCCTGCAGCTTCCGCTGTTTCCTCTCCTGCACGGTGGTCAGGTAGTTGACGGCCGCGTACTCCAGCACCGAGAGGAACACGAACACGAAGCTGACCCAGAGGTAGATGTCCACGGCCTTGATGTAGGACACGCGGGGCATGGAGGCGTTCACACCCGTGATGATGGTGGACATGGTCAGCACCGTGGTGATCCCTGCAGCAACCAGCTTTAGTTCAGCCACTGACAAGGGTACACAGCTGCCCTCACATTTCACTAAGTCCCTTTTTTTTTCAACTATTAACCATTTTATATTGATTTTTGTAGTATGTTTCTTCCAAGGTCTTATGATGCTTAAAGAGATTTTATGTATAGTAGTGTGTATATGTCCATCCCAATCTCCCAATTTATCCCTCCCCCTCTGGTAACCATAAGGTTGTTTTCTACATCTGTAACTCTATTTCTGTTTTGTAAATAAGTTCACTAAGTCCCATTTTACATTTGCTCTCTCTTTTTATTTTTTTTTGCGGTACACGGGCCTCTCACCGTTGTGGCCTCTCCCGCCACAGAGCACAGGCTCCAGACGCGCAGGCCCAGCGGCCATGGCTCACGGGCCCAGCCGCTCCGCGGCGTGTGGGATCTTCCCGGACCAGGGCACGAACCTGTGTCCCCTGCATTGGCAGGCGGACTCTCAACCACTGCACCAACCAGGGAAGCCCCATTTGCTCTCTCTTACATCTAATAGGAAGTGGCCAGGGCACGTTTCCACCTCATAGAGGTGTGAGGATCTGCAAGGATCTGCTCCCGAGCAGCCAACCCATTCTCCTCCCAGCCAACTGCCTGTCCCCTTTCACTCTGAGCCACTTGGGAGCCTGGGTTTCTGTGATGTGGTTGCTAAGATCAGCAGAGCTTCCCAAAGGATCTGCTCAGATGTGGACTTTAAAACAGTGGCTATGAAAATCAACTCTATTTCAATAAAAAATAAAAATTAAAAAGCAGGGGCTACAGGACCCCTCTCAAGGAACCTTCCCAAACTTCAAGGAAAGAACACATCCTCCCTCACCTGAGTCCAGGAAGACTGGAAATTCCTGGAAGCCTGTCATACAGGTTTCTTCTTCACTGTGCCTTGCTGGTCAAACCCTCACATGTCTCAGTGCCCAACCTGATTTTGTCCAAATCTCTGATGAGTTGCAAATGTTTACTCTGGCATTTAGGGTCTGTGAAGGACTAAACCACAGCTCCAGGGAGTACAGCCCTCTCCTTCCCAGAAATCATGAAATATGGGCCCTGCTCCCAAACTCTCAGTCTATCTAAATAAGACCAACGAAGTTTTTGTATTTGCACAGTAAGTTTGGGCATTTGTCAAATTGTCTTATTTATCAAAGTACTGAGCTCTGATACTGCCAGTGGTGGAAGTCTACACCCCAGGTAGGTGCTATCTTTCTGAAACGATTCGAGCAGAGCTGATGCGGTTTGAGCGCCCTGTGGTTTTCACAGTGTAGTCTGGGAAACTGAGGGCAGTATGTGAATGGAAAGCAAGAAGCAGGCGGAAAGTTCCCTCCTTCTGACTCTGACAGCCCGTCGGTTAAGGACCCTGAATGATGATTTTACTTCTTCTTTACATAGTGATTGATTGAAAAAAAATAACCACCCTATCACACCTTATCAAATGCTTTTACCCAGTGAAACTCTGGCGGGCACAGCTCTGCGGTCGATCCAGAAGGACACCCAGGACAGCATGACCATCAGGGTGGCGGGAAAGTAGGTTTGCAGCAAGAAGAAGAAGATGTGGCGACGCAACGTGAAGTTAATGTAGAGACGGTTGTACCAGCCTGGGGGACACAGGAAGAAGCCAGTGAGGTTCCATCGCAGAGGCAAAAACAAACTCCTTCCCTGGGGGCCCTTCCTCCCCTGTCACCACACTCATCTTCAGCAGAAAGTTAAAAGTGAATGACCCAAGGGACTTCCCTGGCAGTCCAGTGGTTAAGAATCTGCCTTCCAATGCAGGGGACGTGGGTATGATCCCTGGTCAGGGAACTAAGATCCCACATGCTGCGGGGCAACTAAGCCTGCATGCCGCAACTACTGAGCTCATACACCACAACTAGAAAGCCCATGCACCACAACTACTGAACCTGCATGCTCTGGAGCCCTGGCACCACAACCAGAGAGAAGCCTGCATACCACAACGAAGAGCCCTCACACTGCAGCAAAGATCCCGTGTGCCACAACTAAGATCTGCACAGCCAAAAATAAATTTAAAAAGAGTTAATGATCAAAAAAAAAAACAGGGAATTCCCTGCGGTCCCGTGGTTAGGACCCCTTGCTCTCACTGCTGGGGCCTGGGGTCAAACCCTGATCGGGGAACTAAGATCCTACAAGCCTCACAGTGCAACCAAAAAAAAAGTTAATGATTGGTTGGCTTCGTATAATACATTTCCTTTCTAAAATCTAATCTCTCTGAGTCTCAGTTTTCTCATCTGTAAACTGGGGATACTACGATCTACACCATAGATTTGTTGGGTAGAAATTAGTTAATTCATACAAAGCACTCAAAACAGTGACACATAGTAAAAGTTATACCAGGAACTCTTAAAAATGGTTTTAGAAAGAGAGTTGATTTGGACTTGCCAAGAACAGATGAGAAAAGAAAACTGTGTGGCAATGCACATCAGAGCAAAGGAGAAGAAAGGGATGGGGTGAGCAGTATGGGCATAAAGGGAAAGCAGGTGTGGGCTGTCCTGACACCAAGGCAACCTTGGCTGGGGCCCGCTCTTCTCCAGTGTTTGATGTTGCAAACAGAAGGGTGGGGCTGGGGGCAGGCGAACGGGGGGGCGGGGGGGATGGTGGCCATGCAGGGGCAGACGGTAGCCCAAAAACTTCTCACAGCCAGGCCTAGGCTTCTCAGCACTGGGACAAAGGGTAAGGAAGTGAGAAGTCCTCCAGGGTCCCGTGGCTGCGGCAGAGCTGTGTATTGCAGCTCTATATTGCAGAGCTGTGTAGCATATAAAGGTATGTTGAAGTCCTAAATCCCACCACCTGCAAATGTGACTTTATTGAGAAATCAGGTCTCTGTACATGTAATCAAAGTAAGACGAGGTCATATTGAGTTAGGGTGGCCCATAATCCAGTGACCAGTGTCCTTAAAGAAGAGGGATGTTTGCACATAGATGCACAGAGACACACCATGGGAATACCAGAGTCACAGGGAGAATGCCACGTGACAACAGAGGCAGAGGTTGGAGTGATGCCATAACCACCAGGACCAGTAAGAGGCAAGGAAGGAGTCCTCCCCAGAGCCTTCAGAAGGAGCATGGCGCTCAGGCTCCTGGCCTCCAGCACTGTGAGTGAACACATTGCTATCGTTTCAAGCACCCAGTTTGTGGTACTCTGTTAGGACGGCTCTAGGAAACTAACACAAGGGCTGACAGTGAGATTCAAGAAGAGCGGACAAATGGATCCTCTCAAAACTTCAACCATGGCCCCAAGGTCCAAGAAGAGGTCACACTACGCATAAGAAATGAATCTATACCTCTGAATATAGGTAATAAATACACAGGTAAATACAGTAATAAATACATAAATAAATAGGTAATAAATACATTTCCCCACATCGTTAAGTCAAACGAATCAGGTTGCAGAATAGCGTGTACACTCTGACCCTACTTTTGTAAAATTACATAATTAAAGCAGGATGTCTGCAAGGGTGTTTGCTGAATTGTTCAGAATGACTACCTCTGACCATGGAGTTTCAGAGGGCAGCAACTTTTAAAGCCTCTGCTTTTAAGTGTTGTTTATGTCTTGTTGGACTGGGCATTATTAGAATAATGAAAAGTTATTTTCATTGGAAGGGGAAAAAGTTAACACTGAAAAAGAATTCTCATGTGTTTTCTTCCACATTTGAATCCGACCATGGAAGAAGTTAGCTACCAGTGCTGCTATAGAAGGCCAGTCTGGAAGTGGTGTGGAATTTCTGAATCAGAAACTGAGACAGGGAGATCTTCTCATCTGTTTTCAGGGATTCGTCCCCATTCTTCCAGTACAGCATCAGATCTTCATCTGTATATGCATCTTTGGGAAGAGGAAAATAAGTTAATTTCACTCCTTTTCTTCTGAGGCAGGAGCAACAGGGCCATTCTACCTCAGCCAGGGATTAAATAGGTCTTATCCCTGGCAGGCAGTACTCAGTCTCATAGTTACTAAAATGGCACAGAGAGGGAATAAGGCGAAGATTTGTCGTTACGAATACAGACACTTACAGCTTTCCAGCTCCAAAGAACAGGTCTGGGAGTCCAGGGGAAAGTGGCTGAAATCCATGTTGCACATGGCGGTGACTGTAATCCTAGAACCCAAACAAACATGTTGGCTCATGCAGTGAGTTACTGGCTCATATACCTGCCCAGAGTAAGGAGGACAAAGACACGACCAAGGGCAGCTGCCTCTTCACGTCTACGTCAGAAGCTTGGAAACCCAGGACTCTAACTTTTTTTTTTTTTTTTTTTTTTTTTTTGCCGCACGGTGCAGCATGCGGGATCTTAGCGCCCTGACCAGGGATTGAACCCGTGCCACCAGCATTGGGAGCACTGAGTCTTAAGCACTGGACTGCCAGGGAAGTCCCTCTAAGTTAACTTTTAGAGTTTTGTCTTCTGTAGATGATGGTATTTGCTCTGCCCGGATCCCAGCTCCTGAGGCTGCTGGCTGTGCATGGCCCACACCTGGACCCTTCTCTGGGCATTGCCCACATCCAGAGACTCGTCTTCCCCAGAGATGCCCGGAGGTTATGCCCTGCCTCCCTAGCCCCGACTCAAGGCTATTAGCACTGAATTCTGGCGAACTGTACAAGGTGTGGGATGAAACTGTGTAATCACTCAAGTCAGCCCAGAAGCCAATCTGCAGTAGCACCTAATAAAGAGTAGCTATGGTTATTTCCCTAATTTTTGTTTATTACCAATAATTACCTATTTTTGTTTATTACCAATAAACTAGAATCATAGGCTCTCAGGGGTGGAGGGTACATAGAAGGTCACCGTCTCCCTCAGATCACTCAGGTTCAATTAGTCTCCTAACCTAACCTTAAGACCCCCGATGACAGGGAAGTCAGCACCTACTACGGTGCTCATTTCGTCTTTAGAGAGTTCTAACTATCATCAGAAGGTTCAGACCCTCCCATGTAACCCGTAGACCCAAACACAGTGACAAACTCTTCGGGGCCAAAGGGACAGACCACACATATACATTTTTTTTTTAATAGAGGGTTTTTTGTGGTGGTTTTTAAACCGAGAGTTGACTAGCTAATTCATTCCACAAATACTGTGAAAAGCACAGTTTAGCTCTGACGAGACAGTGGTACATCAGTCAAACGATCCCTGGCATTGTCCACACATATTAGGATGCCACGACCCCGTGGACAGTTACCTCAGGCTGTACAGCACCTGCCCATCTGGGAACACCCTCAGCATGATGTTGTCCGTGGTGGTGTCGTGGATGAATGACCTTTTGGAGTGAACAAAGAAGACGTCGGGGACCCAGATCTTCTTCACCAGCCGGCCGTCGAAGGTCATGCTCTTGTTGCTGGTGCTGGGGAAGACCAGCCGCTCATCCTTCCAGTAATGCCGCAGGTAGAGGGTCATGGTGAAGTCCTGTGGGAGTGGGGGGGAGACCAGACAGAGATGGCTTACAAAGCTCTCTTCCTGACAGCCGACCCTCCGTCCACCGCTGTGACGGACACCTCAGGCTCAGCCTCCCGAGTTGAAGGAAACAGTTCTGCAGCCCCGCGGGACGATGGCCAAGGCAGTGGCGCTGCTGCCACAGGAAAGAGAACGGCTCATGTTTGTGCCTCATGAGGCTGGAGCCCAAGAGACAGCACAGCCCCTCCTTCAGGCTTTGCAAAGGAAAATGGCAGCTGTGATGCCCACCGCCTGCCCTGGGGCCAGCAGGGCTGGATTCCCACAAAGCCCTGCACTCTCACCTAGACCTTTGCACACATGGCTCCTTACCTATTGGCTAACCATTCAATTCAACTTAGCAAACACTTCTAGAAACCTGAACAGTCAAGTGTCCCATTTTGCCGTTTTGTGTGTGTGTGTGTGGCCACACTGCGTGGCATGCAGGACCTTAGTTCCCTGACCAGGGCTCAAACCTGTGCCCCCCTGCAGCGGAAGCATGGAGTCTTAACCACTGGACCGCCTGGGAAGTCCTAAGTATCCAATTTTGGAGGGTTTCTACCATTAGGCTTGTAGTATCTTTAAAGGCAGAATTGTTTCCTGCCCACCCCTGAATCTCCAGACCCTAGTTTAGTGCCTGGCAAGGCACAATAGTGGATGCTCAATAAATATCTGCAGAATGGAAAAATGGGGGGAAATGAATGAATGAGGAGATGGGCAGCTGCATGTCTAGTATAATTTCAGCCTGAAGGCTTATACTGTTAAAAAGTGTCTCCTCGTCTGCATAGCCGATGCCTGAAACCAAGAGTGTAGCCCTTACACTGTAGCCAGAGCTAATACATGAACGCCAATGAATAAATAACTACCCAAAAGAGCCTGTTCCAGGAGCAGGTGAAGGAAGGCTGGAAGGACGCATGCGGTGGCCCCCGTCTGCTCTGCCAACCACACCCAGGCTCCTCCTGCCTGTTCCGGAGGCCCGCCCGTGGAGGGGGGCACCGCCCCACTGGCCCACCTCAGCAGCCCCTCTCTTCCCCGTTTTGTCCGCCACTCTTTCAGTTTGCAAACTCCCTGTTCTTCTGCCTCAGAGACCTCGTATGTGCTCTTGCTTGGCCCTCCCTACAGCTGTCAGGTCTCAGCTGAAACGAGGCTTCTTCAAAGACGCTCCGGTACCCGCCTGAGCCTGCTGGGCGCTGCCAAGGAGTGAGCCGGGAAGCTGTGCTCCCGACGGGCGCTGGCGCGCAGAGACCTACAGAATTTGAAGGTGAATAACGTCCACCTCCGCCGCTCCTCCAAGTGTGGCGGGTCCAGCCCCTCACACCGCTAAAGGGGCGCGTTCAGGACGTAGAGGGCTGGGCCTCACTCCCATAAACCGAATCGGGAAGTCTGGGGCGGGGCCTTGGATCTGCATTTAACACGCCCCAACACACACACACACACGCACACGCACACGCACACGCACACACACACACACACCCGCCCCCAAGTTATTTTTACCCACGAAACTGCAGAAGCCAGGCTCTGGATTTTACTAAACCTAGGCCAACCTCCAAATCCCGGCTTTATCCCCTCCAGCTCTGGCCCCGCCCCCAGACGCAGCCTGCCCCAGCGTGGCCCCACCCACCGCAGGCCCCCAAGGGACCTCGGCCACAGCAGCCCGCCCCGGCGCTGCCCGCCTTGCGCGCCTCGTACCATGTCCACCTCCGAGATGCTGTCCAGGCTCTCCACCTGCACGTCCACGCCCACCGGGATGGCAGGGCCTGCAGAGAGGCAAAGACGGCTGGTTAAGGCGCCTTCCTCTCTAGCACTGGGCAAGCAGAGAGCCCCTACCCCCTTCCCAGGGGAGCCTGAGCGGAGCAGGGGTGAGGCAGTGGTTCAGATTCCATGAGGGTTTTCTCGCTACTTCCTGGCAGGTTGGGTGCCTGAGCTTTCTCCATGAGGGCGGGGACTGTGTCTACCTTAAGTGCCTTTCCTGGGCCAACATGGGTGTTTAACCCATGCTTATTGCATGAGTGGATGAGCTAGATTATGTATGTTTATGCTTCCACAAAATGTGTTTTCAGATTTTAATATTTAAAAAAAGCCTTAAATGGGGAAAACGAAAAAACCTGTGTCTGTCAAGCATATTAATAAATGCTATTCCATTCACAGGCAAAAAAATGTCTCTGAGAGCGTCAGGCGGCATCTGGGCGGGGCCTCCTGAGAGGCCAGCCCACTGCGCCTGGGTCCTCTGGGCCCTGGCCAGGGAGTGCAGGACCGGGGCGTGCCGACCCACCGTGGTCTGAGCTGGGAGAAGCTTAGGGTGGCAGGGGGAGTCTGGGTCTTAGGGAATGACGACTGGAAGGGCCGGGGACTTTGGCTGAAGGCAGGGGAGGAGGATCAGAGATCCCGACAGGATCTGGTGGGCCAGGGCATCGAATGGGCTCGCCGACTCTCCCCAAACCTCCCCCCGGGTAGGTTTGCTAAGACTTGCAATCCCACCATGAAAGATTTGGGGCTTGTGGCTGAGCCCGATAGAATGGGAGCATTTTATTTATTACTGGTGGGATTTAGTGGATATTTTCTGTGTTCTTAAACGAGAAAGCAAATGAGCACAATCTTTTTTTTTTTTTTTTTTTTTTTTGAACCAGGGATCGAACCCGGGCCCACAGCAGTGAAAGCACCGAGTCCTAACCACTGGACCGCCAGGGAATTCCCACAACATTTTATTTTTTATTTTCCCCTCCCAGATAAATTGGGTCATAAGCTGATCTTTTTATTTTCCTGTGCTCTCAACCGAGGGCTCAGGTCAGGCCCCATGAGAGATGACTGCTCTAGCAGCCGGAGCCTTCTCTCACTCCAGGCTCCAGGAGGGCACTGAAGGGGCAGAGTGGAATGGCCAGTGTGAGGCTGAAGCCCCCTCCTCAGGGCTGACTGGCCTGCCTTCCTCCCCCAAGGGGCCTGCAACACGAGGGAGGGTCTGCCAGCAGCCTGGCTGGGGCCCCCTCCCAGGACCCAGACCCCTGAGCCCCTGTGCAGGACCGTGTGTTCCCAACATCACCATGGGAAGCAGGGCTGGTTAATTCCCCGTCCCCTGGACGGACCTTCCTTCACTTGAGACATTAAAACAGCCCAGGGCTGGAGCTCTTAACCCTCATCACCTTTCCCCCTTGTTCCCTTTCTCTAAAGTGCCACATCCAGTCGTCCCAAGAGCCAAAGGGCAGAAACAGTATAGCCATCACCCTCTTTGGACCCACTTCCCTGTGGCCTGGTTTTCAGATAATGGGCACAGTGTTTGACCAGCAGCTGGTTTTGGCAACGGACATTTTCCAGATAAAGTACAACAGCTTGCTTGGTGCCTGTCACTGTGTCTCTCTGTCCCCCGGGGCCTGCCTTGCTCTCCGCAGTTCCAGCCGTCCTTTGGAGAGAAATTTGATAACGGCTGTGAGGGTGGCATTCAGCCTCTGGAGGTATTGCCCACATGGGACTGCAGGTCAGGCTCCAAGGATTCTGGGTTGTTGGAAAACATCTGTGTGCTCAGGAGGCTCCAGAGCTGCGCTCGGGGACTCGCACCCCAAGCTTGAATGGGACCAACAGCTCTGCCCTCCTTGGTCCAAGTGCAATGGAGGTGACCTTTGCCTCTGACTTGCCCCACAGCCCAAGACTAACGCTCCACCCCCAGGATCTCCCGAGCTCTTCATTTTGTGGCCCTTCCCAACCTGATTTTCGAGAAATTCTTCCAAATGACTGGTCTTTCTCCTTTTTCTGTGAGCAGTTTTATGTTTAGAGTATGATTGAGTCCTATAAGGTGTTAGAAAGAAGATAAGCTAACTAGGCATTTGTGCCTTGGCCCCTGAACACTGACGTGGGTTTTTCTACTTTCAGAGAGGGATCTGGTGAGCCAAATGGAAGTCACTGGTGGAATTTCAGGCAGTGTAGCCAGTGAGGCAACAAATTCAGAAGGGAAATACGTGTTTAGCCAAGAGCTATTCTTGGTTCCTAGCCTTTCTGCAATTATTTCTCCTCACATGGTCCTGGAAAGCACACGTTAGGGATTTATCCATTTTTGAAATAAAGCTATATGTCATTTCTTCTCCACTGACTCTACAAGAATAAATGTGAGGTAGAATTTTAAGACAAACTAAAACAGAATTTGCCAACAGGCATCCTGCCCTAAATGAAGGTGTTTTTCAAGCAGAAGGAGCATGATCCAGAAAGAAAGCTGGAGACGCAAGAATGAAAGACCAACAAAAATAGTAAATATATGTATGATTCTAAGGGAACACTGACTATATAAAACAATATTAACCATGTGTTGTAGGATTGAAAAAACTAAATAAAAATATACAACATTTAAGAAGGGAGAGGTATAAATGGAGTGAAAGTGTTCTGAGGTCTTTGCATTGTCTGGAGGACAGTAAAAATAGTTACTTAACATACTAGTACTATAAGCCAAAGATTCATGTTGTTTTCTAGGGAACCACAAAAAAAAAGTAGTAAGGGTATATATTTTCAAAACTAGAAAAGCCAAAATAGGTATAACCAAAAATAATCAGTCTAAACAAAAGCAAGAAAGGAAGGAGAAAAAAAAGAGAGAACATAAAGAATAGGTTGGACAATAAAAAGGATATAATAGGGGGCTTCCCTGGTGGCGCAGTGGTTGAGAGTCTGCCTGCCGATGCAGGGGACGCGGGTTCGTGCCCCAGTCCGGGAAGATCCCACATGCCGTGGAGCAGTTGGACCCGTGAGCCATGGCCACTGAGCCTGCGCGTCCGGAGCCTGTGCTCCACAGCGGGAGAGGCCACAGCAGTGAGAGGCCCGCATACCGCAAAAAAATAAAATAAAAAAAAATTAAAAACTCCTAAGAGTTCCATTAAGAAAAAAATCAGACAATCCAATACAAAAAGGGGCAAGAGATCTGAATAGGCATTTTGCAAAAGAAGAAATAAACAATAGACAAATGAGAAAGTACTCAATTGCATTAACAGCTCCCTTAGAACCACAGTGAGATATTACTACTATATACTAACAAACTTGGCTCATATGAGAGTAGCTACACCAAGTGTTGATAAGGATATGGAGCAACAAGAACGCTCATACTCTGCCAGTGGTGGGTGTAAATTGGTACAACTACCTTAGAAGGCATTATCCAGCAAAATGGAAGATATATAAACCTCATGACGCAGTCTATCTACAGAATAGGTTAAATACATTGTGGTATATTCATACAATGGAATGTATAGTTACACGCAACAACACTATAAAATTTTCATCACTGCAGGTTGCATGGCTTGACTTTCCTCCATGGCCCTTCCCTTTCCTTGAGGACTTCTTGCAAAGTCTGAGTTAATTTGAAATATTGGTTGAGACACTTTCCCTTATTGTTGGGTGTAATCAAACATTTCAGTTTTAAAAGAGGCCTGACTTTTCTCATGGTGAGCACTGCTTCCTGAGCAGGCAGTGAGTGCCATGTGGCAGGCATTTAACCATCCACCTGGGGTGGGGTGGGCGAGGCTGGACTCAGGGGCTCTCCCTTCCACAAGCAGCATCAGCATCAGCAGGCATTTGTTAGAGATGCAATTCTTGGACCCCACCCTGAGCCTCCTGCACCGGAGACATCACAAGTCCTGCTGATCCACAGTCAAGTCTGAGGGCACTGGACAACTGATCTTTTTTTTTTTTTTTTTGCTGTACGCGGGCCTCTCACTGTTGCGGCCTCTCCCGTTGCGGAGCACAGGCTCCGGACGCACAGGCTCAGTGGCCATGGCTCACGGGCCCAGCTGCTCCGCGGCACATGGAATCTTCCCAGACCAGGGCACGAACCCGTGTCCCCTGCATCGGCAGGCGGGCTCTCAACCACTGCGCCACCAGGGAAGCCCAGGACAACTGATCTTTAAGGAACCCCCAGGAGTGAGATTTTACAACGTCCCATGTCCTGGTTACCATTTTTCTCTTGTTTTCAACCTTTTTCACGATCCCATCTCCACCAGCTTGCTCCACTTCCTACCTATCCATGCCTTCCTTCCCCCATAATACTTGCTGAGTCGAGCAGTCTTTACCCAAGCCTGACCTCCCTCCCATGACCAACCTCCTTAGCTGAAACCCCGTCCCTCTTCCATCTCTGTGACACAGCTCTTCCCCGGCTCCTTCTCTGAGGTCCTTGGGCCCCTCCTGGGCTCGATCTCTGACCCGGACTCTGACCCTGTTGTTGTTGAAGTCTAACAGAGGTCCCCCCTGGATATCTAACCAAGTTCTTAAATTTAACATCCCAAACAGACTTGTCTATTCGGGGCCCAGCCCTGCCCCACTGCCCAGCACCCTGTCCTTCAGGCACATGGTGACCTGCTTGGTCACCGGGGTTAAATGGGGTCAGGGAGGGAAGGAGTGAGATTGCCTGGAGGGGATGGCAGAGGAGGAAGAGGCCAGGAAGAGGAGTTTAATTTTAGGGGAAGGAGCCAGTAGTTGTGAAACTGAGTCCCACTGAAACTGAGCTCCTCTGCCGAGTTTATCATTAACCCCTCTATCCAAAACTTTGTTCCCTTTCTTGTCCTGCCCTTGTTCCTCTGATGATTGAGGAGCATCAAAGAAATGTGGCGGTTGAAACTGAACAGGACCCTGTGAGGCCCTCTTGGGTACAATACCCCCTACCATGTGCCCCATTTCTTTTTTGTAGAAAAAGGCTTTATTCTCCTAGGCCTTCCCTGAGTGCCAGTCTCAAGCAGTTACTAATCAGGGAAGTGAGGGAATGCAGAAACAAAGGAAGAGCAGTCAAACAAGAAAA